CAAAGACTCAGAGACTAGTACATGATACTGGGTTATTTCAACATATTTCTCTCACCAATAGATAGGTCATTCAGTCAGTAAAAATTATTCAGACCTAAAAAATATTATAATTCAAATGGACTTAATAGATATCTACAGAGCTTTTCATCCAACAAGAGCTAAATTCGCTTCCTTATCAACTGCTTGTGAAACCTGCTCCAAAACAGACCATATTTTTAGGCAACAAAGCAACTCAACAAATACAAAAATGTCTATATAATTCCCGTATCTTATCTGATCATAATGAATGAAATTAAAAATCAGTACCAAATAAACTATTTAAATACCTGGAGATTGAATGATACACTTGAGAATGATAAGTGAGAGATGGAAATCAGGGAAGAAAGTTAAAAACTCTTAGAATCAAATTAGAACAGTGATACAACACCAGAATCTCTGGGACACTATGAAGGCAGTCCTAAGAAGAAAGGGGTTTTTGGATGGGTTTTTGTTGTTGTTGTTGTTGTTTGTTTGTTTGTTTTGTACCAGGGACTGAATCCAGTGGTGTTTCAACACTAAATCAGATCCTCACATCTTTTTTGTTTTCTTTTTTAGGTTTGAGACAGGGTCTTCCTAAGATGCTGAGGCTGGTCTCTAACTTGCAATTCTCTTGTCTCAGCTTCTCAAGGCACTGGGATTACAGGCATGTACCACTGTGCCCAGTCTAAAAAGGAAGCTTATAGTACAAGTGCCCATATAAGAAATTGGAAAGATCCCAGATAAACAGCTTAGAGATGCATCTCAAGACCTTGAAAAACAAGAACAAAAATATTCTAACACCAATAGAAAGAAGGGAATAATTAAGATCAGGGTAGAAATCAATGAAATAGAGGATAAAAAATTAATACAATGATTAATAAAACAAAGACTTGTTTCCTTGAAAAGAAATGATGTTGATAAACTCCTAGCCAAACAAACCCAAAGAACAAGAGAAAAGACTCAAATTAATAGAATAAGGGATGAAAAGAGATAAATCACCACAAATATCAAAGATATCTAGAGGATCACTAGGGATATTTGAAAATTTACACTGTAAAAAATTTGGAAACCTAGAAGAAATGGAAGAATGGATACGTTTTTCTAGATGCATATGAACTGCCAACATTGAATCAGGAGAATATAGAAAACCTAGAAATCCTAAACAGACCAATAACAAGCAGAGAGATTGAAGCAGTAAGTTTTTCAAAAGCCTCCAAAAAAAAGAAAAGAAAAGAAAAACTCAAAACCAAATGAATTCTCAGCTGAATTGTGAGTCCTTTAAAGAAATTAATGCAAATTCTCCTCATAGTATTCCATGAAATAGAAGTGGAACATTCACAATTTCATTCTGTGAAGTCAGAATCACACTAATACCAAAATCAGGTAAGTACACATCAAGGAAAGAAAACAACAGATCAATATCACTGTTGAACTTAGATGCAAAAATCCTTAATATAAATATTAGCAAATCATATTCAACAAGATTATACACCATGATAAAGTTGGTTTCATTCCATGGTTGCAAGGACAGTTACCATATGCAAATCAATAAATATAATTCACCACAGAAACAGAATTAAGGACAAAAATCACACAGTCATATCATTAGATGCAAGGCAAACTTTTGATAAAATTTAGCACTTACTCACGAAACAAAACAAAACACTGAAGAAACTTGGGATAGACAGAATTTACCTCAACGTTGTAAAAGTTATATACAACAAACCCAAAGCCAACATCACAGCAAATGGGGGAAAACTGAAAGCATATCTTTAAAAGAACAAGGCTAGGGTGTCCACTCTGACCATGCCTGCTCAATACAGTACTAGAAGTTTTAGCCAAAGAAGTTGGAAACAAGAGAAGAAGATGAAATGAATAAAAATTGAGGCAAGATAGATTCAAGACTCATATCAGGCCCCACCTCTCCTCAATTAGCAAAGCTGATGTGAGCCTTTTCATCCTGCACCATTACTTTTACTGGAGGAGCTAACTTCCACAAAATGTAAACGAAAATTTTGTTGTTTTTTTTTAATTGCCCAATGATCTAAAGGAGCATGTGCAGAGATACCCAAGTTTGACCTATGATAACCTAGAAGGGAAAATCCCCTACTGTACTAACCCATACATATTACTTGCAGCTCATACACCAAATGTAAAGCCTGGAAGAAGCTTTTGGTAGTTGTGCAATAAGAATTATGGGTAAGGCACAAGAATCTGTCAGTTACTTGTTGTTTAGTATAAATCCCTCCTGGAAAAAATCTTACCAAAGGCAAACAAAGAACACAGAAGTCCATATAAGCCCAAAGCTCTCTGATGGGTGGGCAGATGTGTTTATGATGCTACCATGGCAAGACCGCAGCATATCTTCCTCCAATAAATTCTCTTTACTGCTTTTGTTTGTCTTGAACTCTCATGCCCCACACATCAACCATCTTCTAAAGGTCCCATGACAAAAATGGGGTAAAAAAAAAGTCAAATTATCACTGCTTGTTGACTATATGATCCTATGCTTAGAAGATCCAAAAAAGCTCCATGAGAAGAAATCTAGAATTAATAAATTCAACAAAGTAGCAATTCACAAAATCAACAAACAAGAATCAATAGCTTATCTATATACCAACAATGAATCTGCTGAGAAAGAAATCAGGAAAACAATAGCATTCACAATACCCACCCACCCCCCAAAAAATGAAATATTCAGGAATAAATCCAACCAAGGAGGTGAAAGACCTTTATAACAAAAACTATAGAACACTGAAGAAAGAAACTGAAGAAGACATAAGAAGATGGAAAGATCTCCCACCACATACAAACAAAGATGTTATGTCCACCAAAAACTAAAAAATAAATATTAAATTCTCTCTCTCTCTCTCTCTCTCTCTCTCTCTCTCTTTAAAAAAAAAATATTTAATTGTTGTCACAAAGCAAGATATTCTAGCACAGGAGGAATACCTGAACCAGGATGTTAAAAATGAAATCTGTATAGACACCAGAATACAACATGCACTAGAGGGTAGAAACCAAGGACCACCCTCCTCCTCACTCTCAATTGCCTTAAGTGATTGGAACCTTGACCTTCAAAGAGATAGTTTAGGGTAGTGGTTAGAAGTATCAATTACACAGTCAGACAGATCTAAGGCCAAAGTCTTCCATTCACTGGTTGGCTGACTTTGAGAAAGTTGCTTAATCTCTCTAATCAACAGTTTTCTCTTGGGGATAATAATGGTAAAGTCATTAAGATAGCAGTTTCATGAGGTGACATACTCATATGAGGTGGTATCAAGTGAAATGAAGTCCATATATAATGCTCTCAGAACATAATAAATTATCCATAAAGAAGCAATTAAAGCTTAATAATAATAATGATAATGGTAATAATATCAAATGACATAGGTAATGCCTAAATGACATTCAGAACATAGAATCCTAGAGACTTTTGGGGGGACAGGGTACCAGGAATTAAACTCAGGGGCACTCGACTACTGAGCCACATCCCCAGCTCTATTTTGTATTATATTTAGAGACAGGGTCTCACTGAGTTGCTTAGCATCTTGCTTTTGCAGAGGCTGGCTTTGAACTCACTGTCCTCATGCCTCAACCTCCTGAGCCACTAGGATTACAGGCGTGCACCGCTGCACCCGGCTAAGTCCTAGAGATTTGAGCCAACGTGAAGAAAAAAACAAAAACAAACCCAAGAGCTTTTCTTGGACTATAGTGGACCAGCTTCCCGTTAGCTTACTCTTGCTGTCATTTGGAACGTCCATCATTCCCTCACAATTTCTGGTCCAACCAAGAATCTTATGGTGTCAAAACAAAACAAAACAAAACAAAAAAAAACTCCTATAGGTTATGACAGGTGGAGGGCCCAAGCTAGCTCTTTGCTACCCACCGGAGAGACCCTGGAGCTCTGGCCAAGGTTGGAAAGGCCTACACCTCACTCATGTCAGCAATAGCCACAAATGAAAGCAATAGTTTATTTTGGGAAAATCCTTAAGAGCTCTATTCTTGCAGAACTGAAAGTCCTCTGACAGTGTTCAGGGAAGCCACACCCGCTCTCCATATTTGAAGAGCACTTCTTGAACTCCACCCACACTTCACCTCTCCCTTCCAACATTCCCCTAAAGATATTTCTAGCCAGATTGCTCTATCAATTATCTCTACATTTATGCCCTTACTCGTGTTTAATTTCCAGCTCCTCACTCTACAAGTGTGTTTTCCATTTTTTGACTTTAAAAGATCAGTAAGAAAATTTAAATCAGAGAAAATTTTAAAAATCCCAGGTAGGTAAGAATCATATCTGAAGATCTGAAAGAAAAAGTCTACCAGGATCAGGGATGATTCATTCTCAATACCTTTCAGTAGATCAGTTCAGCCTTTAGCAAAACTGTTAGTTAAACCAACATTAAATCTTGGTTTATTTAAAATATTTCTGTATTGTTATTGAAGTACTTTTTCCGTAAAAGAATAATAGAATTTATCAACATAGTAAAGTGGCTTTTTTTTTAATCTAAAAGAACTAGTTGCTTATAGTATCTCAGTTACTTAATGGTCCAGTTATACCTTAGATCTAAAAAAATGGAATGTAAAACATTTAAAACAGATATTATTTTCAGTTTTACACCAAAGTAAAGTTCTACATCCTAATCTCGTGATTATTATTTGTATAACTTAATGGTGAGAACTGCATGCAATTTAATGGGCAGAGACATAAAGGTGCAATGTTTGCAACTTAGGATGTCATGGACTCAAGCTAACACCACACATATGACACATGTAATTTTTGTCACTTAGAAAATTCATCATGAAAAAGTAGAAGATACGACAGTATCAAAACACTTACAGAAACAGTGATCGTACCTTTACCATTAATCTCACTTTGTCTATACACACCAGTGCTAGGCTCTCATCCTTCTTCATGGTACATTGGAAAATACATGTTAAGTCTCGCAGGGAATTCCCTGCCAAAGAATTGTTTTACTTACCATCCTGTGATTTTTTTGTAAAGATGACGTTTCTTGTGCAAGATAACTTTTATGGGGACCCAAATCAATAGAGTCACTGAAGCCACATAAGCAATAGAACAGGAAACGATCAGCCAATAATGTGTTGGCTCAGACGCATTCCTGGTCCTTTGGTAGGCGGTAGCAAACTGCTCCATAACCACCAGTGTGGGGACTGAGAAAGCAGCAAACTCCAGCAGCTCAAAAACGATGAGCTTAATCAGTTTTCCAGAAGCCATCCCGAGGAGAAGCAAGCTGCCAGGGATCCACTCCTCCCCCTTTGACCGTGAGCAGCATATGGACACACAGATACTGAATGAGGATCAAGTTCCTTGTACTCGAATCACTAACCAGTGACTTTATTCTTTTATTGACCCTCATATGGTTCAATGATCTTCTAACTTAACAACCACAGTCTCTTAAAGACACAGGGCCATTATGGGAGTGATCACTAAACGTATTTGCACACCTATTGTTAGAAATCAGATGAACTCTAAATCCTGTCTTGAAACCCTGGTAAAAAACAGAGTTTTGTTTCCATGTAGTGCTTATTGCTAATTTTAGCACAAAAACTCCTATAATATGCAAACCTTGTTAGGCAAAACCAGGAAGTAATGTCATTTTAGAATTTAAAAGAAAGATGTAACAGAGAAAGAGGAGATACTCAGACTCTGAATCTTCATCTTAGAGAACTGCCCCTCACTTTTTTTTTTCGAAGTGTTTAAAAAGGGAGTTTGGGTTCATTTTGTCAACTTCCTAACCAGGATATTTCCTGATACTTATTTTCATGCATTATTTCACGTTGATTATCATAAGCCACAGATTAACATTATTTTCTTAAGAAACTAAAATGACAACATTAGAAGACTTTTATCAGGACTAGCACATTAAGAGGTATCGCAAATATTTAAAAAAACAATAATTGTGTCCATAAATATCCTTTATTCAACAAATATGGTTGAACCAGGCAGGTGTGGTGGTACATACCTCTAACTCCAACAACTTGGGAGTTTGAAGCAGGAAGATCACAAGTTCAAGATCAGCCTCAGCAACTTAGTGAGACCCTGTCTCAAAATAAAAAATAAAGAGATCTGGGGGTGTAGCTCAGTAGTGAAGAACCCCTGGGTTTAATTTCTACTACCAAAAGTAAATAAAGCATTACACACACATGAACAAAAAGAAAACATATCTGAGCACTCATGGTGAGTGCTTTACTAGGGTGTGAAGATAAATGAATGAAGAGGTTCCTGTCCTGAAAATGCTCACAGCCCAATGGAAAAAACAAACCTATAAACAACAAAAAAGAACAAAGGTCAGAAGCATAAATGCTGTGGTGACACACAGAAGGACTTCCCCTTTGGCCTGTGGGAGAGGAAAATGTGGATAATGGAGATGGATGGAGGTTGTCGGTGGTATTTCAGACAGAAAAAAAGAAGGCAAGGAGGATGCACTGGTTAATAAGAGTCTGGTATAGGGCTGGGGTCCTAGTTTAATGGTAGAGGATTTACCTAGCACATGTGAGGCTGGGTTCGATCCTCTGCACCACGTGAAAATAAATAAATAATGAGATTGTGTCCATCTCCAACTAAAAAATATTGTTAAAGAAGAGTCTGGTGTAGCATAGCAGATAATAGGAAAAAGTGATGTTAGAAAACTTAACGGGAGTGGGAAAAAAATGTCCCATTAAGGATTGGGGGGAGGGGCGTGGCAGGCAGTAAAAAAAACAAAGTTTCAGTATTTTCTAAGCACAGGAATCGTTTGATCATTTGGAAAGTCAAGTCAGTGCTGATGTGGAGAAAGGACAGAAATGGCACTACCAAGAGGCAGGGAGGACTGGTGGGAACCACAGAGGAAACCAGGCAGAAAGTGACAGCCTTTGCTAATACCAAGGGAGGGGTGACCAGCGGGGAACAGAATCAACAGGCAATGACTCTTGTCCCTCCTATAAGCTTGCTTCTCTAGATGGCCCCCCGTGCCTGCTCTTAGACTGACACAACCAGTATTTCTCAAGGGTGTCTCTCCCACCCATAATTTTCCTCTGGTTTATACTTTCCCATCACCTTTAACTTCAGAGACAACACAGAGAGCATTGGCATTCATGTGACATGACCTGCTCTTTTCTATCACGCTCTTATCACTAGCTATGCTTTCTTTGAGCAAGAGGGAGTCTGTGGTTCTGGCCCTCTGCCCCTAGAAAGCCCTGCTGTGTGTGAAGAAATGATTGACTGTTTTAACGTGGTCCACTGAACACTTGCTGTGCACAGACCATGGCAGCCCCTGTTAACTACGTACAGGTCAGGGAGACAACGCAAATGCACAGGTAAGATCTGAGACAGCGTGCAGCACAGGGTAGGACCCATGGTCCTCCGTCCTCCTTCTGGAGCCACGTGTGTCTGGACAAATAGGCTCTGAGCCATGGAATGTCTCCATAAGGTCTGCTGTCACCTGAGCCAATCAGTTCTCACCCTTTAGGAATTTGGACTTAGAAACATGGGAGGCATCTGGTTAGTGGATCTAAAGAAGGCCATGATTCAGAGTTGAAATTAGAGTGAGCCAAACTATATGTGCTAGGACCAGCTCCGGCATGTTGGTAATACTCAGTAACTCTCTGATCAATGAATGAATGAATGAACGAACAAACAAACAGAAGCCAGACAGGGAAGAAACAGAGAAGCCAGTAGAGTCACAATGCCAACCTGTAGAGTGAGAAGACTGGAACAGATGGACAGGGAGCGGCAAGCAGGCCAGTCTCTCCAAAACAGGCACCTCAGTTGGAGAAGTCTCCAGTTCATACACATCCCTATAACAAGCTGTTTTTCCTCGCCACACAAAGGGCTTGAGTATAGCATAAAGTAGTATGTTCAGGAGCAGGGGCCAAATATCATTCAGAAACAACATGTGAAAATACTGGATAATTCAGAGGAAAACACCAGATTGGGAAAAAAAAAAAATTCCCAAAGTAGAGTTCATCAAGTGAAGCCTTCCCAGCAGAAGTGAATTTGGACTTGGATTGCTCTTTCTGTCGGCTCAAAGCAATAGCTACAATATTTCTACAGTCATTGTCTCTGTACAGTGCAATGACATTTCCTTTGAAAGATATTTCTAAGAATGTTCATGATCTATATAGTAAGTTGAGGAGAGAAGCAGGTTGCAGATACAATGTATAGCAATAATCAACGGCACAATCCATTTTTTTCTTAAAATATTGTAGTTGTAGATTTGTATATAAATTATAAAATCCAAAAAGATACTCATCCAAACTGTTAATAGTGTTGACCCTGAGGAGTGGGTGAGGAAGGTGAAATTAAGAAGGTTTTTGCCTTTGATTAATATTACCATAGTCTGAATATTTCATAAGCATAAAAATTAGAAAATGATTTTAGACATTCCAACTGAATAAAAAGTTTGTGCTCTATTCTTTGAATCTTTCCTTCACCAATTTGTTTTCCCTTGCTTTTCTTTAAGCAGAAGCCAGATAAACAAATTTCACTTCCACTTATCCTTTTACTGACAGTACTGAAGAGCAGTGAAATGTTCAAGCAGCAAGCAGAAGACAGGGGAAAGCTTTGAATAACTTTTTCCTGGCCGGGCGTTTGGGGTGTACTGGATTGCCTTCGGCTGTCATACGAGAAAGCTGCAAGTGTAGCCTTCATGCTTTGACAGTCATTTCAAGTGTTTTCCATTCTGTGCAAACTTTCTTTACTGTCTTTCTCCAAACAGAATTAAGCATTTCCTTTTTTTGTGTCAAAATACCTTTTGAATCCTAGGATCAACTTATCACCCTAGCTCATTGGTTTACATGTGGTCCCTACACCTCCATAAGCTCCTCCAAGGCAGGGAACATCAGCTTTCATTTTTGTGTTATCTCTCAGCACAGTGTCTAGCACATTATACATATTCCTGGAAGGAACGAAGGAAGGATAAGAGAAGCGGGGTGCAGTCAGGGGAATGTACAGAGCTTTGATAATAGCTGCTCTTTTATTCCAAGGAAAGCTGCCTCTCACTCATGCATTCTCTGTCCCATTAAATCTTCTAGCTCAGTATATAACTTCCATTTCCCTGCTTGGTCCCTGTCACCCTTGCTGGATTTGGTCATAGTTACAGCTACCAGGTCTCCTTTCTTCATAACCATCTTTCCTTAGGGTCCCAAGGAAAGAAAGACAAAATCCCCTTGAACTGCAGATCAGACTAATCTCATGCTGAATGTTAGGAAAAGACTCCGACCCTCTCTGAGCATTCACAAAGGCTTTATAGACACTGATGCTACAATATCTTTCCCAACATTTCCCAGCCCATGTGCCCTCAAACAATGCATATTCCAGGATGAATGTGACCATTATCAAAGAAAGCTGAAGAGGACCATCTGATGTTTGTCTGGTCCAGGGTATAGCCTTCAACTATTTCACTTTTTAGCCCTTCTAAAGTGTCATTTGCCTGAATTATACTTAACAGATTAGCAGGCAGGGAATGTTCCTTCATGAGTGATACAGCAACTAGCTAGCTTGGCAGAGAAAAAGAATGCCATTGTGCCAACATGAAGCTACCCGGGAGGAAGTAATGCCAGAGCTTGACTTGGAAATAAAGACAAAGGGAGATGAAAAAGGCTTTTAAAACCACCTACCCTTCAGCTGGGACCGGTTTATTCCAGTCCTGATTCCTTCCCTGACGATTCTGCCATGAAATTGCACTTCCAATAACATGCAGAAACATGAAGGAGGTACATTTTCAAACCACCCAAATTCTTTTCTTGGATTTGTCCAATACTGATTTGAAGAACCCTGCGCCTTCGCCTGCTCTTTTTTTGCTATCTTTAAGAACTTCCTGGTAGAGAACAGATTTGGCTTTCTGAGGCTGGATCCGTGGTGGAAAGACTGAGTCTTGTGGTTAGAATTCACTTCCATGTAGGAGTGTTGATGCAGAGTTTTTTATTTTAGTAAGCAGAAGATATCATTCTGCCCAGGGGAACACCTGTTCTCCACACTTCCAACTGTCATTTCCTTCCTGCAGGCAGGAAGTCAAAAACTGAAAACCTAAAATTGTTAGTAAGATCATTTGTAATCTCAAGGTTTGTTCATTGTTTTCAGTGAGAGGTTTGTGAAACAAAATGTACAGACTGCCAGGAATGTTCTGGCATATCCGTGGTTTGTTTCCTGTGATCGCACGGTGTTGATGTGCAAAAAGGCAGGATCTGGTGGAGTGAAACTGCTCTGGGGATCAAGCTGGATCTCCAGGGAGCCTAAGGAGTAGGAGAGAGCATGTCTCTGGGCCCAATTCACTGATTATTTACAATTTCCAAAAAAGTTGCTGATCCTCGT